TCACTATATACAGGCATTACTTTGTTCTAAGATATCTTAAAAAAAAGATAGGACAAAATTTCAGTTAAAGTCTGAACAGGACAGACATTGCTCCTACTCATGTAATGTTGCGTATCAATATACACATTCACAAACCCAGGGTAGAATCCCTGAATATGCTCATCACTTCTGACATTGTTTCTGGTTTCAAAATAGCAAGTTATTTTCCACATTGCTGGGTTTTCTGGTTTTAATTTTCTAATTTTATAACTTAAAAGCAATTTTGACTTATCTGACCATAAAGCATTAAGGTATTTCACTAAAAGTGAACAGATATACAGCATCAGGTTAAAGATAAAGCCTCCCTAACACTTGTTGAGAGTATTAGGCAATTCTGGTTTTGTAGAAGTAGAAACAAGAAGGGAATTGCAGAAGTATGCTTCACCCACCAAATGTGTAAGAAATAATAATAAATAATAATAATAATAATAATAATACCTTTGAAACACAAGACAAAATAGAGTTCCTAAGATGATGCATCCACGGATGTAAGAGGTGCCAACTGTCACTAAATAAAGATAATTTAATTGGGAAATCCATTTTCTCCTGTAAAACAGCAAACTTGAAAGCAAGCAACTGCACCTCTAGAAGAAGAACACTACTCCATTATGAAACGTAACGAATACTAACTACAATCCCAACAGCTTTCAGCACCTTCCGAAGGCAGATTTAGCTGTTTCCAGAGGTAGTACCTCTGAAGGCAGAACTACCTGCAGTGACAAGCTTAGGCCACCAGCCCAGGAGCACGGCGTTTGAAAGAGGCAGCTGTGGGAGCGCCTCAGCAGAGCAGCGGTGCCGCCCCGCCCGCGGCGCACCATGCCCGCAGGGAAGGCAGCGCTCTCGGCAGCGTTCTGTCACCGGGTCGAGGCAACAGCAGCACAGTGCTTCTGCCGCTGCTTTTACTGGGGAACAATTTTATCCAGTTTTGAATTTTTAGGCCTTCTGACAAACAGTTTAACACTGCAGCCATGCACCTATTTCGGAAGTTGCACTGATACCCACAATGTGTAATACTGAGACAGTATTTCCCCTACACATTGCATACTACTACTGATTTCCCCTACACAGTGCTTTTTTTCTGTAATTGAACAGATTATGGATTTCCTAATCCAATAATCACTGACAAAATGCACGTAAGTATATCTTCCTCCCCAAAGCCTTGAACAGTCCTTGAAATCAGACAAGCTCTCAATGAGCTGCAAATACATACAACATTGTGCATGGAAATATCTGACTGCTGTTTGCATTATTAGACACATGGGTGTCAATTTAATTTCTGAATATTGTATACCATATGCATGACTTTTTTTAAATAAGCAATCTTTCAAAATAAGTCATTACTGCTTCTGACTGGTGATGGTCCATCTGTGCTGAAAGCCACCGTATTGTAGCAAGGCTGGCAAAATCGACCCGGGCCAGATCCTCACGCGCTGCGGTTTGTTGCTTCATGTACTCAGTGAAGCCAGTATTTACAGTGACCTGAAGCTGATGTGCTGGGCTGCAAGCCCATGTTGCTTCTGCTCCAGCACGGGAACGTTCTGCAAAGGGGCAGGAAGGGCTCACCTAGGCCAGACTAGTCACAGCTCAGTGCAAGCAGCTGTTACCCCCACACTTTTGGCACTCTGCTTGCTTGCTTGCAACGAGCCTGAATTGCTAAAAGAGACTGATAAAATGGCACAGCTGTAGTTAACAATACCATGAGACCACATTGGCTTGGTTTACTACAAGCATTTGCTTCTGAACTCAAAATTGGTTTTGTTCGAACTGAATACAAAAATTTAATAAATACAAGTAAATACCTGCTCCTGGAATGACCGTTTGCAGTAAAGCTAAAGGACATCAACTTCTTGCCTATAGGCATTATGAAAAAGATGCCTCTTGTTTTCTCTTGTTAGAAAACTCCAGTTTAATGCCACTACAGAAAAGGGAAAGGGTGTGTGAAGAGTTTCCCCTAATTTTTTTTTTCCCCTTTTGAAACCACAAGCCATCTAACAACCTGTCCCACAGAGCTGCTGCTCCGCTTTGCAGGTGAGGCAATATAACCAGGAACTAGCACATTACAATGTCCAGAAGTCAAAATTACCAGTTTGATTATTTTCACATTAATGTGAGCCTGATCTAAGCTAAACTGTTCTTAAAGAGGCTGAGTCTTTTCAGAAAGAACACAGATTGTTAAATAAGCAAGGAGAAGTTCTACTTCTGCTGGTAGTTAGACACTTACTAAAAACAAACCCTAAATAATCAAGATACAGTTTTCCATAAAGTGGTGTTTTGTGGTTTCTTTTTTTTTTTTTTTTTTTTTTTTTTGGCTGGTTGGTTTTTAGATGTGGTAAAACACAGTGAACACTGTGTTTATGTGTCAGCATATTCCACAGAGGTATTGTTGGAGGTTTTGTTTCATCTTTTTCTCTTCTTTTTGGCAGTATATAGTTACTGTATCACCACTGAACCATACATGCCAGGCATGGCACACAGCATGAGCTCCTTAAGCTACACTTACTGAGAAAGACTCTACTACAAATGGTTCTTCATGGCAACTCTTAGCTCAAATCGAAACAGAAAGCATCAATGTGAACCCTCATTCCAAAGGAGGGCAAAGTAACAAGAGAATATCAGATGTGAATTCTCTATACAAAATTATTTTACTTTGGGAAAGGAACATTTCAAATTAGCAACTTATCTTCTCAGCAGATTTTACTCATGTGCCATTATTGAAGAAAACTGCATGTGAAACACCATCTTAATCTTCACAGCAGAGGCTTTTCTTTGGTCTAAGGAGGTCAGGTGAAGGGGGAGAAGAAAACTTAAAAACAAAGAAAAGAATGTTTTATGACTCTTTAAAATGAGTCTGTTGAGTACCATAACAATCTTAAAGATTGTCTCAGAAATAAGTGGGATAGAAAATTTCTTGACCAGTGAGCAAAGACAGCAACGGAAAACTGGAAATACATTAAAGATGTGTATTTCTTGCTAGTAACCTTTAAATGCTGTCTACAAGAAGCTATAATGAGAACAACATTTCAGGGCAAAACTGTGAACTAAAAAAGTAGTATAATAAAGATGTTCCCCAGGTATCATGGTGGTCTCATTCAAGCTGGTTGCAGAAATACTTAGGGACAGTCTCAAGTTCTTTGTCATTCCCCACTCATGCCAGCAACAATTATAAAAATGTGTTTCATTAAAGATTTTATGTGAGACACAAAACCAAGGAAATAAAAGCACAAGACAGTTACTTAATCCAAACAATACACCTTCCCAGTCAGGTAGTTGGAACTGATGTGTAGGTCTTTTGGAATTTAAAATATTAAATGGCATGTTTCCATATTTCAATGTACTTGAGTCACACCACAAAAAGAAGCTTGAATCTGTCCTCAAAAAACACACTTGCACATTTGCAAGTGTAAAAACAGCATACTGGGGAGCCCCCATTAAAGCATAAGACTTACTCTGTAAAACTGCAGCAGCCACCTTTGAGAGTCTAAGGAGTGAGTGAGCCACTTGTGTCTTAGTAGGCAGCCCGTGTATTGCAAACCCCTAGCAGGGCTTCCTTGCTTAGAATCGGACTACTTTCCAATCACTTTCTATGACAATGTATTTTTAGAAACTATGTAAAAATACACGCAATGTCACGAAATTAAGATCTTTCCAAATCTGCCAGTATTTCTGCAACTTGACTAAAACAAACATCTACATTACCAAGACCCATCCATACACAAATCTTAAATATACTTAACCCTAGATAAGAACAGATTTTTGCTCCAATAGCTGTGACTGTCAGCATGTAATGCAAATGAAGTGCATGCCTGTATTCTGTATACAATCAAACTGAAACAAACTCAAGAGAAGCTGCTAGAAACTGAAAGGTGGTTCTTTGGTTAAGCATGTGTGTCTGCTACTTTGTACCCAGGGCCTCACTGTTCAAGTATGAAACTTCTACCAAAAAAAAACACTTCCTATTTATAAAAAGGATCCATTCATATAATCCCGTGTGTCAAAATATTTCAACAATCAATACAAAAGGCCTCAAATGTCACCGTAACTGCAATTCAAGCAAAATTATATATGAAAGAAAAGCACTAGAGGAGTCTGATGCCGTGACCTAGGCAACACACCATTTCAGGGATTTAAAGAACTCTGTTTATTATTAAGATATATCTTAATATGGAAGTTATATCTTATATCTTATTAAGGTAATTGGCCAGAGGCTTACAGGGGAAAAAAACTAAACCAAACCAAAATCGATGCTTTCTCCCCTTCCTCTTTGGAAATAAACTTAGATTTGTTTGAAAAGTTAATTCAACTCAGCCACAGCATTTGCAAACCAACATTAAACAATCCCCATTCAACTTCTTCCTATTACTGGAAGTAAACGTGACAGCTGTGCATTACCTCTGCCTGAAAACACTTAAGGCCTTCGATTAAATCTAATTGACAAGATGACTCCACTGGGATGGTGAGTAAACAGCAAAATACTATCAGATTTCACTGCAAATGAGAGCTATTTAAATGAGTCCTCCTATTTTGATACAAGAAAAATCCACATTTAACAATTTTCACATCATCTAATTTCAGGAAGATATTGGAAATACCATTCTCCCAACAACATTAAGTTTCAGTTCCTCTTCATATAAGAGGTTAATATTTAAGTGTTATTATGAGTTACTGATGACGGTCAAAGCCTCTAAATAAATACTTTAAGGAGCAGCAAATAATTATATTCTACTTTTATTTAACAACGACCATTTTATAACTTTTTTTGCCACCCAATTAACCGAGAATAATTATTTTGGGATAAGCTTTCTTTAAAGCTACCACAACTTAATAACACAAATAACCCAATAAACAAAAGGCAAGTTAGTAATTTCAGCAGGTAAGATGACGACTCCAGTGGATATACCTATCCTCTTCACTGTTCTTTTTATGAAGACAGAAGGTCTTCAGAGTCTTCCAACAAGAGAGTTGAACAGTGCCTTAGGATGCAGAGCCATGGGAAGCAGACATTCTGTCTTGAAGAGACAAAGTGCACTATAATATAAGGCCAGCAGATGTCTGAGAAGTGGTTTCTCCTAAACCCCAAGCTATGCTTCCCTGCAAGCTGTCCCCAGGCAGAGCTGGACAGGGACAGAAGGCCGTGGCTGTTGTGAACTCAAGACAGAAGACAGAGGTTCTCTCCTGTGGAATAGGCACAGCACAGCACCTTCATCACTCTGCAGCCATTTTAATCTCCTCAGGACTCTCTCTCGATGACCTGGAGGAGGGGTGAGGAAATTAAGACTCAAATCTGTTGATTGATTAGAAAATAGCTAGCTTCCTACAAACTAAACAGCAAACACACACACATGTAGGTTTCCGTGCATACTGTGGGAAGGTCTCTCCATGGTATACAGAAAGTCTTGTAACATAACTTCTGCAAGTCAGAGACTACAGAAAGGTCCAATAAGTGTTTTTTCTCCTAAGCTGCCCATATGAAAGATGGCAGCATCATTCATGTGAATCAAGCAAAGGATTACTTTTGACAAGCACAAAATCCTCTTTAAGATACATGCATAATGAGCTAACCTATGTAATTGAACAAGACATTAGAGATGTTCAAATGGCTACTGTCATTATTAACTTCACAGTATGATTTCCAGCTAATTAAGTATTCAATTAGGAGTTCATTCATTCCATTCCTAAACTATACAGTTGAAAGACACATTTCTATATTCCATTTTTGGTAACTTCAAAGAGGTTAATCAAGATCATACTCTTAATGGAATAATGGCATATATCATCTCATTTTTTAAATTCAGGTATGTTTAGTTCTGTTTTGCAGCATTGTACAGCAACACATAAAAATGCAGCATTTGCTGGCTGTCCTTTTGTTAAGGACAATGGACAGTGACTATGAGATAACCATGAATAATAGTTTTACAGAGAAAAAAGGATGCTCAATCATCTCCTAGCACAACAGCAATGTATAAAGTATAGCATACAAAGGTATTGTATTTTCTAAAAGAGCCTTCTGTAAGAAGCTGAGAGACAATAAACAAACATTTCAAGCTTACAAGTTCCAGTGAGTATTTTACTTTACCATAATTTTTATTTCTAGAATATAGGATAGTTGAATCCTCTCCAAACATTTCAGTGCACAGGCAGGTGTGTACAGACATCCACACACGAAGCTCACACACACACTGTCTGTAGCTCTGTGTACATGCACAGGTCCACGTACAAACCTAACACGTAGGCGCAAGACACACACACAGCTTACCGGTAAATCTGCAACGGCCACGGTTGTGATGGAGTGGGCACTGAATTTGTTGGACTCACCAACATGGCACTATATATGTTGGAAGCAACCACAAGTATACAAAGTAGAATTGGTCCTATGATGGCTCCTTCCAGTCCCAGGTAATAGGCTCCACCGGCTACGGCAAGACCTGTCAGGTAAGGATGGCCACCTCTGGAATTATGGCACAAGAAGAATTAGATTAAATTAAGAAAACAAACAATGCCGCAATCAATTATGAAATGGGGATTAATAGTAAGTTTGACTAAGCTTAGAAAATGACAAGGCTACAGACAGTCATATTTACAGCACAAAGTGCTGTCTGAATGACTGCACAAATACCCCAAGCTGCGTTCTGCTCTACTTTTGCACAACAGCTCAAACAACGTATGGCAGCATATAACGCTGGTAATAGCCACAACGGAGTAGCCACTATGGACATCTGCTGAAGAAATGTCTGGAGGAGAGAATGGCAAAAACACTTCCATTTTAAAAGTGGAAAGATAATGGATTACAAAGACTGTTCATGCTTTATGGTCAAGAACCATTACATTTTAAGATGATTAGCAACATTACTACGAGTGCCCCGAGCACAGACATTCATCTACACGATGACAGCAACTTGCATTGCCTCCTTTGAAGAATTGTTAGCACATATTCTTTCAGTACATAGTCATAGCTTCTTGTTTTGTTATAAAACAATCTCTCAAACTGTTACCATTGCCTTTTAATGTTTTCAAATGAAAAACAAAAGCACATTTTTATGAACACGCGAATATTTACTGGAAGGCTGAGGTGAGTGGAGCTTTTGCTAAGAGCTATGTATGGCAGCACGTCAGCCATGCCGGTTTCCTTTCCCGTGTTTCAGTTTGGGTGCACAACACGCATCCTATCAACAGGATTTACACAAAACCTGCTCATCATGCTTAATCTTTGTAGCTAAAATAATGAGCTAATACAGAATTATATAAGAAAAGCTACAGCTGAAACTTAGCATCCAATTTTCAGGAACTTGTTCTAAATTCTGAGTGTAATGGGATGAAAATACCAGCGAGGCAGTTTAGAGCTCTGGCAATTTCTGTCAGGTCTCTACTACGGTCCTGACTACTTCTACCCAACTCCCATGTTGGCAATCTTTGCCTTCATCATAACTGTGTGCAGAATAAGACCATGAAACGCGACCTATTACATCACACACACCTCAACCATGCCTTACCTAGATCAAATTTAACTTACTGGTAGGGACAGATTGTTTTTCTGAGGGGACAGACTTGACCTTAAAGCTTTATGTTTCTCCAACAACAGACACACAATTCATTTCTAAACCTTTAAAAATTCCAAATAATTTTTCTTCAGCATTTACATCAGTTTAAATGTTCTTCTGGCTAGGCTGCTATATTAGACAACAGATCACCTGATGAAAGAGGACTACAGTATAAATTTAATGCATTTGGAAAACCCTGCATAACCTAATTACAGCTATTTCAAATAGATTTAATTTAATCTGCAAGACAGCATGATGTTACTGTTCTATCTAATAGGAAGAATACAAATTTGCTCCACTGTCAGGAAATCTATTCCTGCCACATATATTTTTCTGGACAGTAAACAGAGCCTGCATTCCTTACAGACAGAAAAATGTATTCTAATAAATAGAAGAATTATTGTCTGGCTAAATAGCTACCAGCCTTACATTTCTCCATGATTTATTATTCAAAAAAAATAATTGAAATTTGATTACAGTTCACCTGCTAGCTTTAATTCATGGAAAGAAACTAGTGTCACATCTCTGAAAATTTTTACTAATATTGTGCATATCATCATTATGTTCTCTCTGTTCAGTGTAATGATATTTGATGAACAAAAATATTAATTTCTAATAAGACAGAACTGAAACACTTAATGTCCTTATTCTACATGAACTCTACTATAATAAAAATCAGCAGAAATGAGGGACTAGTACCAGCATGTAACTAAGTCTCGACCATGTAGTCCTCAATTCAAATAGTTTACTAGAATTGTTTCTGATGATCCAGACTTAAGCAGTAACTAGAGGAGCACAACTTTATCACATACATGGTTGTGAACATGGCTTGCATACATGAAACTTGACAGCTCATATCTCCCATCTCTGTGAAACAGTGCTGCTTTATCTTCTAGTTTGAATTGCAAAAAGGGATTCACTGGGTATTTTGGCAGCAGAGAACATCAACGGACGTTTCAGTTGCACTCCAGATACAGCTGCGAATGCTGACTTTGTATTCATATTTTGGCGTTTGTTTCTCTGCGTACAAACTCAAAGCTGAGACCAAGAGACATTTCAAGTCACTACAGGCATTCAAACACCTCAAGATTTTACAAGAAATCTGTGCCTACCTCCCACAACAGGAAAACAGCACTTCCTACTGTCTCAGTAGAAGTCTATCTCTAGTTTTTGCAATTTCATCTGTCTCAAGACATTTAAAGATCAATCCACAATTATACACAAAGGTATTCTCAGAATGATTTTAACAACCTAAACAGTTGATTTTGCTGGCTTTGAGAACAAATTTAAGAACTCTGAAGAGAAAGTCTACAAAAAAGAGACCTGGGAAAGTAAAGGCACTGAGGCCATTAAAAATTCTTACTATGAGGAGATACCACTACACCTATTCCTATGCTTCAAGACAGTGTGCGGCACGCTTCAGGAAAGTTTAATTAAAGGCATTGATGATAATTAAGTGATTTTACAATACTAACTTCAAAAAGCCTTCAAGGTACTTACCCTGATATATCTGAATAAATTGCTGTATCTACAAAATATGTTGGCAAGAGGTGAAAAACCAAGAGCAAAATGGCTTTGCATCCCTGCCCTTGCACAAGCCACAGATCTAGCACTGCAGGCATGGCTGCCCAGTATGTCCCCAGGAACGGCACTGCTCCAAGGATTGCTGCTAATGCTAGAGCACACAGAGGCAGAGGTAAGATCAGAGAAACATACTTTACAAACATATTTACAGTTAAGTTCTGACACTTTTGCTACAGCAGTAGTCCCACTTCTACCAACTGTTGTAAACAAGATGTAAAAGAAGTGTCTCATAAAGGCTCTTTTTTTTTTATAGCTGTGGATCAGGAAAAAGAGCATTAGACTATTCCCCGTACGGAAAAGCTTCACCAGCTGGCAGTCACAAGGCATTACTTCCAAAAGAAGCACCAGTTCAGAAGAATTTGAAGTTATACCAATCACACACATTTCAAACTTTTACAGAACTACAAATTAGCAACTGTGTGCAGGAAAGTATACAAGCAGGAGTCTCACTGTGCCTTACCCATCTCCCGCAGTCAACTGCAACACTGTAGTTAGAAGTGTGAGAAACCAGGCAAATACAAAATCCGTGACTTATGTATTTCTGTATGCACACATACTGATGCATGCACCCTTCTGATGATACAAATACCTGCTGCAAACAAAAGCAATGCAATACTGCTGCCATTCTAACTTAGCGCAGCAAGAACGAACATAATACAAAAAACAATTAAGTTACTTTCTTTGGTTTTGATCTCGCTAACCAGGAAGCAAGAACTTAAAGATTTTGCACGTAGCTGAAAGAACAATTACCTTCTATGTAGGTCTAACAACAATCAATGTCTTTAAGCTAGTTGCACTGTATAATACAGCCACTTCCTATTATATTAGGTTTTGTTGCTTTATAGCTTCCCCTTTTGTCCCTCATACATCAAGGTACAACATTTTTATTATTACTATTTTATATACATACTTTTTTTTTATTTCCCTCCCCCCCCTCGAAAAAAAAATAAAGGCAGGTAAATGAGGAACAGAGGAGAATTTTCAGTGATAACTGTTCAGCCATTTCCAAAGCTAAGATTAAAGAGAAAACCTGAGACTGGCAATATAGTCAGGCAACAGTATGGAGAGTAAGAAGCACACTTCTATTGTGCATTTTCAGGATACTGTATCTTCCTGCATTTAGACATCTTGAAAAATCAGCACCTGTCAACTATGGAAGATACAAAAGCCAAGGTAGGCAGCATGAAGTTAAAATCTCGAAAGATTTGGAAGAAATAATTACATCCAGCAAAAATAAAATAGGTGGCAACAATTAAGCCTACTTATATTTTACAATAAATTATTACAAAATATTATCTCTAAAAAGATTATAATTGCTCAAATTCTTACCAGATGGTATGAAGACTATGTTAATCCCAAATATAGTGTGAGTCAGCCAAGTGTAGAGTCCATAGAAGCCAGCCATTTTGAGGGAAGCGTCAAATACACCTCTAAAACAAAGAAACTCTGTTAAATTTTGTTGGCAATAAGATTCAGGGAACTATAAAGATACAGACGAACTTTGCAGAACTGCAAAGCCATCGGTGCCACAAAAAACACAACTCAAAATGTGAAACTGAAACCTTTATGGATTTGCTCCCTATGAAAAGAATAAGCATCCATCATGTCTGCCATTTAAGGCATTAAGACGTAAAGAACTCGGGATGTTCTTCACTGTACAATTGATTCCAGGGATAAACTCCTTGAAAGAAACTGCTCAAGCATCAGACCACATCCTCTATCAAAACCAGCCTTTTATCTATGAGAAGCAGTACCATTCTATGTACAAACTCCTTTTTCTTTGCCCTTCTCCATTTCTACCTCTTCATACATTTTCTTTATCTGCTTACATGTCTATATGTGCTCATTCTCATCAGATTAAACCCACTGACCTGTGAAGTGAAACAGGCTGCTTAAACTCTTACTGACTTGCACATCTTTATGGATGAAAATAATTGGGCACTAAGAATTAATTACTGGATTTTAGCCTCATTATCTTTATACGCCTAGCTTTTAGGTTGCTCACTAGGTTACATTACTAAAAATAACAAATAGAAAGTCTGGTAATCTAATTCAAACCTGGTGAATTGACATACAATATGCTGGCCACAAAACACAGTTCTCTTCTTAAGTGTGACCACAGCTTTATGAGACAGCAAACAGGCAGCTAAGTGCTGTATCATTTTTATAGCACTAGTGCACTTACATGTGAGGGGAGTATCCTATAACTGAACTGTAGACCTGTGCTTTAGGACTACAGTACTAAAAGTTATACTCTAAAAGTGGAATATCTCACCACTGCATGATGCCAGGTTTTCACCTTTATTTGAGCAAGGCACAACATTTTGTGAAACCACTATTTTAGCTTGGATCTAAGTAACCAACCTGAGTGCCTGAGTTCCTCACCTCGCAACTGTCCTAACAGTTGTTCTTCTCTGTTGAGTCAATAAGGCCTTCTATAAAAGAAACCTTCTCTGCTATCAAGCTACTAGGTAGAATATTCTCTACTGGACTACCATCAAGAATTCCAAAACTGTTAATTTTTGCTTCTTTTGGTACTATCCTCATTATTATTTCCATGGGCACTTTGCATGTTTTTGCCCTCCTGTCCCACATAAAGGCATGCATAGATTCCCAAATGACTGCTGAATCCAAGTTATCCTACTTAAAATTCACCCACGGGAAGTTTTGAGTGCATAAGAAATGTCACATATTAACACTGTTGTTCAAAATTTGAGATTCACTTAGATTAACTAGGAACAGCTGTTGTCAGACAGTTCCCCCCTAAAAAGAGGGAAAGTATGGAAAAAAGAAAGCTTTAAAGAATGACCTGAAATAACAAACCCAACTTACAGTGTGTGAAGAAGGGGAATAAATATTGACAAATATGCCGTTGCCTCAGTGAAAAGAGCCTGAACACTTCAGTTTAGATAAACTTTTAGATTACTACATGAGAAATTACAGACCAAAATATACAGAATCTGCAGCTTTTGAAGAGTGAAATACTCACCTGTATTTTAGTTATAAGAAAGGTAAGCGTCTGGCGTAAAAAAAAAATTGGTAAGTTGGAGAGAAGACTCCAAAACCCAAGGCCACAGTAAGAATGTTAAATGAGTTTGCAATGAAAACTCAAGAAGTTTTCATACTTTAGGTACTCAGAAGTCTTTATTTTGTGCATTTTCTTAAACTGACATTTAATTCATGCCTGCTCTGAGGATATCAAGTTATCACAGCGTAGTATTTTTGTAACAAAAACCTGTTTATTAATTGAAACTGATTCAGTCAACCATCAAGTATAAACATCGTACAAAAGCAGGGAAAAGAATCAACCCATCAACATTTTACTTAAGGATGCCTTACAAAAACAAAGGGCTAAATACCAGTTTAATTCATACACGCAAGTTATCTCTAGTTGGGGTTTAAGAATATAGAACACGAACAACTACGACAGGATCTCCGGCCGCGGAAGCCTCCAAGGAGAGACGAAGCAATAGCTCTACTGCAGTGACCATGAGGACAGCAACCAAAACCCCGACACTTCTCCTGGTTGCACTACACACATATTTGTTCCCACTAAACTCCCATGCTTTTGTCAAACCAATTTCATCAGCCTTGTTGGTGTCTTAAATCTTAGACCTACACCACAGAAATCTCTTTGCACTATAAAGAAGGTATCTCACCATTTCTGAAACTCTTCATTGGTAACACAAAGTTTTCACCTTTTTTTAATGCAATTTGCCAGGTCCAAAACAAAACCAAAATGAAAAAAACCTCCAACGTATCCAGAACAATTTGTTAGAAGGAAGTATTTAACAGAATCTATGAGCACCCAGATTTTAACATGCTACAATTAAATTGCTGAGTAAATATTTTTCCTATAAATCAAACAGGAAATGTGGCACAAATAAATCTCAATTATCAAAAATACTTTAAAACTGTCTTGGAGGTATCTCCTTATTTTTCCCATAAAGGTGTCTTCTGTACTGCAGTAAAATTAACAAGGTCTTAACAACTTCTGTAAGTATGCCCCAAAGCTACATTGCAGTGTGCAGGAGCCAAGCAGGCCTCTGGCTTGAGGCAGGCATCTGAAGAATCAACTTCATTTGAAATTAAAGTATCCATCTAGAACTACAGGAAAGACTGACTTTTTAAAAAAGCAGTCATTTTACAGTTTCTCACAGAGGGTACAAGAGAAGGGAAGAGAGTCTTACTTTGGTAACACAAAGAAAAACTATGACCCAGAAAAATTATTCCAACTGCCAGAATTAAACACCGTGAATTTAACTATGTTAGGGTGTCACTGCAAAACTGCTTCTCATTTGCAAGGAAACATCCAAAACTGCCATTCTAATTTATGCAGTCTTCACATTTCAGTTCAAACAAGCATAACTTCTATCTTCAGATTCATTTTATTCAAACTTAAATTCAAGTTCTGCCATGTCTTTTGCTGATACACTAATGTAGCTTGTAAGAAAATTTTACATTGTTAAGTCCATTACTCATTACAGATGCACAAGTAGAATAACAGAAAAGTTAATCATGGATCAACAGGCATGTCCTGGTCTGATGTCAGTCCGCAAGTTGACATGTAATATGTTTCAATGGCAAAGTGGTATGTCCCTCTAGAAGACTGTGGAACAGTGCAGCATCTCTCTAGCTCCTTGCATCTAGCACACACAGCTAATCAGCTGAAATCAGAAGGCATCGCACAGTGCTGAGGTGCTACTGGTCAAACAGGAAGCAAGAGGAGGCTGCACGTAACTGTATCGTCCTCCGTTCTTTGTGTCTGCCTCAAATGGCCAGAAAAAAAGCACAGGGGATCCTACTTTGTGGCAAGCATGGCCCAGGAGAACTCTAAAGACTCCTGTTTGCTACTTCTGTCAGAAAAACTAGGAATCATATCTTGAAGTCTCTAGAAATTCACAGCCATTTGACTTCATGGTTAAGGCAACTAAAGAAGTAATGCTGAAAATGCCAACCAGAATCTTCACCAAGAATATGCCTCAGCTGCTCTGGGTCTGTGCTGCCAGATCTTAAAGGTGGTGTGGTACAAACACTGAATGAATTTATTACCAACTGTAAAATGCAGACCTTCCTGGTGAAATTATGACAGTAAATTAATTTCATCTCTTAATACATTATTGGCATAAATACAGCTTCCTTTTATATACAAGAGTAATTTATGTTTCAGAAATCAGAAAATCCAATTGCTGGTCATGTCTCACTTGGGCACTTTATCTGGATGAACCACTTTACCTGCAAGAGCTGTCATCAACAAATGTGCAATTTATGAGCACTTCATGGCAATTTGGTGTAAGGCATACTTAGGCATACATATTTCATTTTACTGAGCTTTGAAAAGAATGTAAAATGGAAAAAAAAAAAAAAGAATCAGAGGACATGGGTCATACTTCATATTATTCAGATTAAAAATGAAGAAACTTCTGTCAGATTGTCAAATGCTTCTGCATACCTGGCCTAAATATTTTTTTGCAAAAGTTCTACTTCACTGAAAAGCTAGGGGATTTGCTTGATTTCACAAGGGAAAATGCCACCTTTTTTCAATGGGTTTTGTGGGTTTTCTCTTTTACTAATTTGCAATAAAAAGTCTACAGCTTCCCTTTTGCTTTCACTGACGTTTATATTAAAGGCATGTCCACCTGAATTCAGGTTCACTTCACAGACCCTGCAGGTAAGGTCTCTTCACCATGAGCAACAGGGGGAATTTCAAAAATTTCAACCAAACACTGCAGTGACCTCAGTTGCAAGTAAAGAGTTAGAAAAATGGAAGACTCCTGGGATGCAGAACATGCCTCAAGCTTAAACTCAGAGCATTCATTTTTTTGACCTCAGATTTAATTTATTTTCTAGATATCTCCGTTTCCAGAGCACTGGAGGAAAAGAAGAGCATATGGGCTGAAACGATGAGAATTGGAGTTTCCAGAAAGACTAGAGTAAGCACATAATAAGTTCAGCAGAGAGATTTACCGGTCACTATACTAAATTCATAATGAACGCATACCCACCCTGGCTGCTGAGTGGGCTAAGAGTAAAAAAAAAAAAAAAAACAACCAACAAAAAAACAAAACAGACAAGAGTGATACTTGTCTTTGGAAATGTTGACAAGAATTAACATTTCTCTCAATAGCTTACAAGACACTTCACAAGCCATAGAGTGGTTTACAATCAAATTAAAACGCAAGTTTGGGAACAGGCACACACCAAGTCAAAAAAACTGTGAGAAGAAGACAATTGCACTCTTTTACCATCTTCTTTAGACCACTGATGTTTGGTATTTTCTCATCTTCTGTAAGTAGAAATCACAAGGATTGTACTGTATCCTTGTTGCGAAATCTTCCTGTATACAGAGCCGACTAATTAAAAATGATGCTTTAAAAAAACTCCATCTACTCAACTTCTTTTCACAATACAACCTTTACATCTGAGAAGT